GATGACCTTCCCCTTCATTGTTTCTTTGTGGTTTATTCTTCGTCTGGCAGCCTAGAGGAGTTTCTGGGGTATCCGACAGTGTCCCCAAGGCTTGGGCATATGGAAAGGTTGTTTCTAAGCTTTGGGGACAAATCCAAAGCATGTTTCTGGGAGGGAAGTGGTCAGGGAGGTGCTGAGGAGAGGAACCACAGCCCAAGGTGGGACCAGAGCTGTGTGCCCGAGCCTCCGTCTCATCACTCCTCCCGTCCTCCGCAGGGATCGGCGTGGGACTGGTCGGCTTTGGCCTCTTCTTTGTCCTTTTTGGGATACTCTTGTACTTCGACTCAGTGCTCCTGGCCTTCGGGAACGTGAGTACAGTGGGGCTGGGGCTCCCTGCAGTGGGCACTGATGCCTAGGATGGAGCAAAGGGTCCATCTGGGCAGGACTTCTCTGACCCACTCCTCTTCATCTTCTCAGGTCCTCTTCCTCTCCGGCTTGGTATTCATCATCGGCTTCAGGAGGACCTTCACCTTCTTCTTCCAGCGGCCAAAGCTGAAGGGCACCAGCTTCTTCCTTGGGGGGATCCTCATCGTCCTCATGCGGTGGCCCCTCCTGGGGATGCTGCTGGAGGCTTATGGCTTCGTCACCCTCTTCAGGTCTGTCCGACAGCACCCACCTCCCTGGTGAAGTAAGGGTGCCCTGGGCTGCAGAGCGGGAGCCAGGTGATCCTCGTGCTCTGCAGCCCTGGACAGAGTGACTGCTGCTCCCCTCCTGGCAAAATCCTGGCACAGAGCTTGACCGAGACTTTTATTTCAATGCAGGAGTTTTTTCCCGGTGGCTTTTGGGTTTTTGGGCGCGCTGGCAAACATCCCTGTGCTGAACAAGGTGAGCAGGGCGCTGGGCACGGTTCTCCTGGGCAGATGTGACTCTTGGGGTTTGCAGTCCTTGGGGCTTGTCAATCCGATTTGGTGGCTGGTACAGGACAGGGAAGGTCCCTGCGGTCTCTCCGCAGCCCCTTGAGGACCCACTGGAGGATTTTCCTGCTAATCAGGATCTGTCCCTCTTGCAGCTCTTGCAGAAGATGGGAGGCAGCAGCTCCATGGTGTGACCTGTGAGATGGGCCGCATCGCTGGAGAAGGGACGGCGTGAGCGAGCCCTGGGTCCGGCCGTCCCGCGGTGAGCTGCCACTTCTCCCAGCCCTGGGACCCTCAGTGCCAGTCAGAGCCACCCTCGCCATGGGGACAGTGCCTCACTGTCCCTCGAGGATCCTGTGAGCAGCTCCTGAGCGAGGCTCTGGGGATCAAACACTGTGCCAGGCAGGCTTCTGGAATCATTAATGTTATTTTATTCTTTTTGTCTTCCTTTGTTGAGAGATTTAATTAAAAAGTGTGTCTGAGACTGAACTCAGACCGTGCTCCTTTCCCGTGGCTCAGGGCTTGCACCAGCTCTGGCTCCTCTTAGTGTCACCAAAAGGCAGCATGACCATGGCTGGAGGTGGCATGGGGACCTTCACATGGC